GCAGGTTTGCCCTATGCAGTATGTCATTTAATTTCTTGACTGCTGCTTCCATGGGCATTGATTCTGGATCCAAGTAAAATGAAATCTTTGACAACTTTAATCTTTTCTCCATTTCTCATGATGTTGCTTATTGGTACAGTTTGATCTTTTTTTTTTTTTCTTTATGTTGATGTGTAGCCTGTACTGAAGGTTGTAATCTTTGATCTTTATCAGTAAAGGCTTCAAGTCATCTTCACTTTCAGCAAGCAAAGTTGTGTCGTCTGCATACCACAGGTTGTTAATGAGCCTTCCTCCAATCCCGATGCCACGTTCTTTATATGGTCCAGCTTCTTGGACCATTTGCTCAGCATACAGATTGAATAAGTGTGGTGAAAGGATACAACCCTGGGGACACCTTTTCTGATTTTAAACTATGCAGTGTCCCCCTTGTTCTGTTGGAACGGCTGCCTCTTGGTCTATGTACAGGTTCTTCGTAAGAACAATTAAGTGTCTGAAATTCCCATTGTTCACAATGGTATTCATAATTTGTTATAATCCACACAAAGACCTTGCATAGTCAGGAAAACACAGGTCAACATGTACATGATTTAGAATCCTAAATAAATGTGGTGACAGGAGCCCTTCACATATGTGTAGACACATTCACTGTGTTCTTGTAGGTCCTGCCCAGTCAGCTCTGACTCGCAGCCACATGCACAAGGAACGCACAGCCAGGTGAGGACGTGGTCCTGCACCAACCTCACAATCATCGTTTGAGCCCACTCAACACAGTTTGAGCCACTGCGTTACTATGACAGAACCAAATTATTTAAAAGTAATCTTGTCAGAATGTGTGCAATTCAGGATCCTTAGCAAAAATGTCACCAACTGTGGAGGCAGGACGTGTTCTGTGCAGCAGTCTCTGCTACTTGCAGTTTCAGTTTCCTGTGGTCAGCCACAGTCTGAAAGTACTCAATAGAGGATTCCAGAGATAAGGCATTCATTTTAAATTGTGGAACATTCTGAGTGGCATGGTGAAGTCTCTGCCATCCCACTCTGTCCCCCCGGGACATGAACTATGCCTTTGTCACTTAGTAGTCATCTCAGTGATCAGGTAGGACATATCAGATATATGGTCATGGGGCTGCAGTGCTTGCTTATTATTATTATTTTACTTAATAATTCTTCCAGTTTAGGATTACTTGCTGTTATTAATCTCTCACTGTGCCAAATTCATAAATTGAAATTCATCACAGGTATGAATCTTTAGGAAAAAGCAGGGTGTATCTAGAGTTCAGTCCTACCTGCTGTTGCAGGCCTCCATTGGGCATCTTGGAACATATCCCCCGTGGGTAAGAGAGAACTACTGGACTCGTGAAGGGATGCGGTGTGCTGCTTAACTGCCTGGACACGGCTGCCTGGGGGCACCTGGGCATTTACATCTGGCTCAATAAAGGAAACCCGTCCTGTCACGATGTGCCTTCAGAGTAAAGGAATTATGTAGAGTGGTGTGTGCCAGGTTCATAGGACTCAAAGTGGCCCTAGTGTCACCACCTGACCCAGGAATTCCTAGAGTTCCAGTGTTCCCATTCTTGCCAATAGAGGCTTGGGGTAACCTGGTGGTGGTGGAGGCAGTGGTTGCTGTAGAGTTGGCTTTGAGCCCATGTTGTCCAGCCCTGCCTCATCTTCATGGTCATCGGTGTGCTTGAGTCTGTAGTTGTGGCCGCCATGGTCATTCAGTGCCTTCCACCCTCGGCACTCATCTCCCCCACCATGTTGGACGGCGTTCTTTGTGACCATAGGCTTTTCACTGGCTGATTTGTGGATGTAAACTAAGCAGACAAGGAAGAGTGGCCTGTAGGACATAGAAGGCGGTTTTCTGTGACTCTGGGCAGAGGGAGAGTGTAGAACCATCTGGGGAACCACATCTCCCTAACGTTCTGACTCCCGTGTCTCCTCCCTCTGCCCGCTCCAGGTGTGATTGCTGTGGCCATCTTTGTCTTGGTTTGCATCGCCGCCATTGCCACCCGCCTGTACCAGCAGAAGAACTTGTACAAAAACAAGGATGCAAAACAGCCAGAGGAGGAGGGCCGCGTGGAGGCCATGCTCAAATGCGAGCTCCACTTACAGAACGCAGCTGGTGGGGGTCAGAAGGAGTACTTTCTCTGATGGACGATGGCTGTGCATTCCTGCGACCGTGTGACTGTCTCGCTACACTCGTATCCTGGATGGCCAAGAACTCCCTTGTGTGGGCGACGGTGGCTTCCCGCCTCCCAGAGGCTCCATGAGCCTCCAAGGACACACTCCTCCACAGTCGTGTGCCACTGCATCTTACATAGCCATGCATTTGATACCATTGTAGTCCTGGCCAGTTTCTGATAATGAATGTGACCTCAAGCTGAAGGTTAACTTGCTTAACATCCAGGCTTTGAAGGGGAAATGTGCGGCCATGCCCGATGGCCTGTGGAGCATGAGGCTTTGATCTGCTCTCACGGGAGCAGTGGCTTTTTGTGACCACTGTTGACAGCACTGAGCATCCTTCCTGATTGTACTGAGGGTGTCACATCTCCTCGTGAGCCATAGCCCAGTGGCCAAAATAACCTGCCTTTCTGCCTTGTCCCCTTTGCTGGTCGATGCAAAGCCCTACTCTAAGATTTCTACTTGTCAGTTTGTGTTGCTTTGATTTAGTATTTTCCCTGTTCTTCGTAAGTTCGGATCCCTCCAGTCCTAAATGTCACTCTTCAGCTCTGAAAAGGAAAATTCTTAGGTAGCAACGCTGTGGCCACCAGAGCCAGCAGATCTGAGGTTCTGCCCTTTAGTCTTTGCCCCACAGCAGAACCTGGCAGTGCCCTAACGTTGCCATGTAAAGATTGTTTCTTTTAAGTTAAACTTGCGGAGCACTCGTAGCCATAGATCTTTAATGCTCCCGATGTCTTGTGTTTACCCCTGCAACCTGAGTAATACGTGATAGCAAAGCTGTTTTCCTAAACTCGGGTGAGTATGTCAGTGTTCCTCATACCAGTCAAACTCTTCTGCTTTTGTTTGACTTTCCCTAACATGGCTGCCCTGGGACTGTCTTCACGGAGCTTCTTGGACTTACCGGGAAGCACCCCCACTTTGAGTTGTGTTTCCTGCATCAGCTGTGAGCAGCTCTGGGCATATGCCCCCTTGTTCTTTCCCAGCCACTCACGGGGTGCCCTGTGTGCTCAGCTATAAATCGCAGCATGTCCCCTCCTGCACAAGCAGAATGACCCTAAAATCCATTTCCTGGTCTCAGTCCCCAGGCACTGGGGTCCATTTCTCAAAGGGCTCCCTTTGTGTGTGTCAGAATCCAGCACCTTCTCCACAGGGTACAGGCCAGGAGAGCAGAGCGGACGGATCATCCCGTAGAGGCAGGAGACGGTCCATAACTAACGCTGGAGTGCTGACGCGTGGCAGTGCCTTGATCCCTCCATCCACACGAGGCACGCTCTCTCGGGCACGCACCAGCACGTGCACTCAAGCAGTGGTGCCGAGTATGTCCACATGGTTCTGTGCTATTTCCTGCCACTTTCACATTAACTTTACCGTTTTTCCATTTTAAAGACTGGAAAATGCGTTGCCGCATTTAGTCTGTCTGTACCAAATGGCCCTCTTGAGTTTCTGTAACCCCAAGGGCCTCCCTTTACACAGCGACTTACCGGGGTGAGTGCGGTGATCTGATGCTCCTCTCGAAACTCAGAGGCTCTTAGTGGCTAGAGGAGCGCTCAAGGAAGAATTGTGGCTTTTGCTTTTCTCTCAGCACAAAGCTGAGTCCAGGCACTGGGACTTCGCGACAGCTTTCATAAGAGTGTGTTTCTGTCAACAGGTGGGTGCCCCAGGTGGCTGGCTAAAGCCCAGAGCGGCTGCTGTCCCCCACGTCGTCCTCCTGCGGAGGCTGGAGAGCCCTCCGAATGCATCAGTATGTCCTGGGCAGCCGCCTTTCCTGGATTTATAAAACTTCCCCCTTCTTTGCTAATAATCAGAATTTTTGAAATAAAGTCAGGAATATATTTTAAGAGAATTTATAGAACATTTAAACATTAATGAATTTAGAATTTTAAACAGTAAAGACAAAAGTGTAATGTGTGAAGTCTGGACTGGCGTGTGTTTCTTTATGCCTCACAGAGCATCCTGGAGTGGCTGCTGTCGGCTCGCCAGTGCGGCAGTCACCAGGTAACTGGATGTTGTTTGTTTTAAGTGGCTCAAATGACAAGCATGAAGAAAGTGAAGAACGTTACTGATTGCTCCTAGTGAAGGTGATCGGTGACTGTAGATGTTGTACAGAGTCTCCAACCCTGAGCTCGAGAACCGTCACTCCACTAAAATTAGGTACTCAACTCTGGGCGAAATAGTAGACTGTGTGTGTTTCCTCCCACAAACCCAGTGCCATTGAGTCATTTCCAACTACCAGTGACCCTGTAGGACAGAGCAGAAGTGCCCCACAAGGGTTCCAAAGCTGGAAGCCTTCACGGAAGCAGACTGCCTCATCTGTCTCCCAGCAGCAGCTGATGGGTTCAAACCACAGACCTCTTGGTTAGCGGATGAATAACTTAACCACTGCACCACCACAACTGCTTGTGTTGCCTCCTCAGAGATCAGTTAAGGGGCACTTTCCATGCCCAGGTGCTGGCTGGAAGAATTCAGTGTACCCACCAGGATATAAAAGGAAGCAAAAGAGGACACTCAAGCATTTTATTTTAAAATTAAAACAATAATGAAAACCGTGTATCACAACACCCTTCATTTGGGAAGCCTATACACACAAATGGATACCCACAAACTCTGTGTGTGTGTGTGTGTGTGTGTATAAAAACTAATGAGCCATTGTAAAGAGTTGATAGATAACAAGGATTGTTGTTGTTGTTGTTATGTGCTGTCAAGTCAGACCTGACTCATAGCGACCCCTCCTTAGGTTTCCAAGGCAGTGTCACTATGGAAGTAGATTGACCAACCTTCCTTCTGAGGAGTGGCTGGTGGGTTTGAACCGCCAGCCTTCTGGTTAGCAGTCAAGTGCCTTAGCCACTATGCTACCAGAGCTCCCAGATACAAGGATAGACATGGATATAGACATGGCCATCGATTGACAGTATAGACATGGACAAATGGCATAGAAATGAGATGGATGTAGAAATGGATAGAGAGGTAGCAGGCCATTCAAAATCTAAACGTAAGTTAGACTTGACCACAAAACACAGTTACCAAATTATATTCAAGAAAGATGGAAAATGAAATCAGTGTTATGTTTTCCAGTCCATGGACCAAAATACGTTCCCAGGCACTTTCGATGTGTCCTGCTTTCTGTTTCCCATTGGGGGAGGGATGCTGACGGAAGGAAGCACAGAGGGTGCCCCACCCTCAGTACATGGCACATGTGTATGTGGATGCCTGTTGGACATGGGGGGGTTTGCACATGTGCATGTGGACGTCTGCTCACACATATGTATATGAGTATGTGCACATGTGTGTGTGTGTGCTAGCACGTGTCTGGATGTGTACCTGCACACGTGTGTGGCTGTGTACCTACACGTGTGTGTCCCTATATGTGTATATGCCTGCACACATGGGAGGGTGCCTGCACACGTGTGTGGGTGTATTCCTACATGTGTGTGTGGGGTGCCTGCATGTGTGTGGCTGGTGTGTGCCTGCACATGTGTGTGGGTATGTCCCTACACATGTGCCTGCACATGTGTGGGTGTGTGCCTGCACACGTGTGTAGGTGTGTGCCTACACGTGTGTGGCTGTGTGCCTACACGTGTGTAATGAAAAAGGGCAGATGAGAAGAATGCCTCACGGGACAGATGTGCAGGAGCCCATGACACTTAAGTCTGAGCCACTGGCAGTGGAGCTCAATTTGCACATGCGTGTCTGCCTCAGAGAAATCAAAACTTCATTAGTGATAGAACGACAGACGCTTCACTCATAAGCATCACAAAAAAATCACCATTTTAGATGAAAATATCCACAAACATTGTATCAGAAATTGAGTTCAAGGGAGGAACACACATTTACTCTATGAAATCCTGAAGACTGGCCCTTGACCGTGACCAGAACACTGCTGAGTCCAGCCCCCTAATCCCCTCAGCTGCTCCCACTGTGGGTGCCAAGTCAGATCTCCCGACACCTCATCCGGTGCTCTCATCATTCCAGACGAGTTCAGGTGTGAGCTACTGCGCTACTGGCAGTGAGGTCAATGCTAACGAATCAACAGTACGTGTTAATTAAGGCGTGTAAACAGAAACACACATAAAACAAGGGTATGTACTGATTGGTGGATGAAAATGTTGTGACCAGAGGCTTGTGGGAACCTAGTTCTGTATTTCCCTGGTGCAACAGCTCAGGATTTGCTAATTTCATGTTTCTGGCAACTTTATACAACATAATTATCATGCAAACCACAATTCGCTGCATAAATGTACTTTTTGTTTGTAGCTCCTTTTGTTGCACCAAGAACCACAGAACCAACTTTCTTGACTCACACTGAGCTTGGTTTTGAATTTGCAGCCAAGTGAGTCCTCAGAGTGCCAGTGTGATAGTTCTGAGGTATTGCTTTGGCTGGGCTGGGTGACCATCCCAGAATTCCCTTTCTGGTGCTTCCAGTTAAAGAGGTTGGAGGAGATTCCATCCTGTGAGCCAGAGGATGGAAGGGAGGAAGCATTTTGTAGCACACGTACCTTCTCCCTAGAATCCCATCCAGCATTAGTCCAGGTGTTGCTGAGAAGGGGTTCTGCAAGTGTGATTACGGTCCCTAATCAGTGGACTCCAGATTGACTTAAATCAAAAGGGAGTCCTTTGTGGGACTCAATAAGTTGGAAAGTCTTTGAAAGATAGTCTAGGCCTTCCTTGAGTTGAGAGGCTCCAAACAGCCACTGATTATCCAATTGCTCTTCCTGGATTTTCCTTCTTGACCGTGTGGACAATAAGTTTTCACCTTTGCCCGTGGGCTCCAGCATGCTCTGCTCATGGTTTCCCTTCCCAATGGCCTAACCTCCAGAGATTTCAGGCTGGTTTAACCTGAACCTACAACTGAGTAAGCCATTTCTTCATAATGAATCCCTCAATTAATGTATGTACTTATGGTTTTGAATTGAAAGATGCCCCCCAAAAAAGATATGTTGAAGTCCTAACTCTGTGCCTGTGAATGTGAGCCT